TGGGGGGGGGGGGGGGGGGGGGGGGGGGGGGGGGGGCGGGGGGGGGGCTCATGATGTTGGGACAGATGGCATTTAGCTCTAGCTGTGCCGAGCTCAGTGGGACCCGAAGCTTAAGAGGTTAGGCCTGTCAAAACCACTCTGTTCATTCACTGCCTAACAAAGTGTGGACTGTCAGCCTGTTCCGTTTAATAAACTTAAGATTTTTCTTTTGTCAACGCCTGAGCAACACTTTGCAACTCGATGACCTGAATATCCCAACATCCAACATGCACCTCTGGCTACAGACTTTCCAAAATGTGTGGACATAAGTGGACATAAGGACATTCTGTTAGTTAGTGTTTTGTTAATTAAACACAGTGAGGTTGGCTCAAGAGGCTTTTTCAGCAAGCTTTATGCATGACCATGATAAATATGTCAACATAATGTAACATTTTTTGTTAAAATCCAGTATTACCTGACTTTAAAAAACTTAAATGATAAAAGGCTTATCAGTAGCGCCTGTATATCGTATTTTTGATACACCAGTGCAACAATTCTCAGCGTTAATATGACATATAATGCATTTTTGGGCATTTCCTCTTCATTAGTTAGTTCACAGTGTGAAAAATCAGTTTCAAAGAATTATATTTCACCACAAGAGGGAGACACACTGTAACATGCGGAGTGATTCTCTGCGATACTGTACATTGTCCACACGGGACCACACTGCTAATCTGCACTCAAAACGCCTGAAACACAACAAATGCATACATGTACCAGAATAATCTAAACTGTCATGTGATCGTGCATATTTATTGAGTAAACATGTTTTAATTTTTGCCATCTTGCCTCCCCTCTCTCCCCCATCTCTCAATTTGTTTCAGTGCTTGTTGGGGTCAAAGGCTGAAGGCTGGTGAGTGGTGACCTGAGTGAGAGGCCTGGGTGCTATCTGACCTCTAAGTGGGTGTGCGGCTGACCCTGGAGGATACAGCTCAACAAAGGGAGGCACGTGCCTTGGCCCTGTCACCATGGTAACACAGGACCTTTTTGGAACGGTGTGTGTGGGGGGGGGGCAGGGTCAAAGCTTGGTCTTTATTCTGATCGGTGTTAACCGTCTGCTGCCAATTTGCTCGTATAGATATAAGAGCGTGCCCACCACAGAATAGGATATATGTTTTACCCGTCTTGTGGGGGACATAAATCTGATTACACAGTCATATTGTAGGGACTCACTTCCTTTTTGGGACACAATGGGGACAAAATTCATGTCCTCATAATGTAAATCGTTACAACTTAAGGTGAAGACTTGGTTTAAGGTAAGGGCAAGGTTAAGGGTTAGGCTGGTAGCGGTTAGGGTGAGTCTCCAGCAAATGAATGTAAGTCAATGTTATATCCCCAAATGTCGTGAAAGTGTGAAGAATCTACGGACTGACTGGGTAATCTCTGCAGGCAACTGTGATGGTGCTTTAAATTCTCACAATCACCTGGAGAGATTCTGCAGTTTGTCTTATATGCCTTAAAAGAACTTGCTAATATAAACCCTTAAACTGTGTCTTTTTTCATCTCTGTTGTCTCTATCACAAACCATATAATGAAAAGTATTTTTCATCTTAGTGTCTTCTGCAACATGTAAGGAGGAGACCCAACTGTTTACCAAAGGTTGGTTCAAAAACTGTCTACCTATGTGAAATGGTGATCAAAGGGGATTTCACGCTCTAGCTTAAGGTAATGATCATTGCACAATAGAAGAGATGTTGCCATGACACACATTAGCTTGATCTGTTCATGCCTCACTATTACAAGTCAAAACAATTAGTGGGTGTTTTAAAAGAAGAAAAAGGGGTATTATTGAATTACAGTCCTGAATGAGGGCCAACAGGTGCAGTCCACCTGGAAGACGACATGTTTCACACTTTATACTTTGCCTCTTTGATGCTGTGCAAGCTGCACGCTCACCACAGATAACCAGCACCACCCTGATCCTACAACAATCCTGCCATCCCCCTACAACACAGCGCTATACCTATAATAGATATTACTCGTCAGCTTCCATGTAATGTAATATTTGACACATCTGCATTTCTTTTCTTCATTGCCACAGTCAATCCTCCTGTCTCTGGCCTGAGTCCTTTCCCCACGTTTACCCCTCCTCCACCTCTGCTTTTCCCGTCTCATCCCCTTCTCCTTGTGTTCTGCTGAGTTTTGGTGAAATCTCAGCTGGCAACTGTGAGTCGTTCACTAGCTGCTCTCACAATGGCCTCTGGGATTATGCTAAACACAGCGCCTCGGCTGCTCTCCCCATCGACCGGCGTCAGCGACGCCCTTTGGAGCACACAGGAAAGAGATGGAGGGCTCTCAATGAAGATGTCACTGCAATTACACAAGTGCATTTCACAGGCACCCTCTCTGTCTGCTCTTCCTCCTCTCGCATCCCCCTTCCCCACTTTTTAAAAAATGTCTTTTCGACAGTCTTTTGAAGTGCACCCTCATCTCTTGCAGCTCTTTCATAATGCATGCCCACTTTGAATTTGCATGAATTCACTTTCCAGATGCTTCTGCTGCCATCTTGACTTACAATGATGTGTACTGTACAGTAGCTATTGAATTATTGTAGCATGAAAAGAATAATAATGGCTTGTTTTAATGAGTATTTTTGTGTCACTCATCTTACCATGAAGAGATATTGCAGAGGGTCAAAATGTGTTGTGAACTCCTCACCTTTTGTTGCCCCTGCAGTTATGTTGGGGTGAAGGAAGAACTTTCTGATGTGGATGATACTGCATCAGGAACTGATTGGCTGATGCTCATTTGCCAACAGTACCTGATGCATTGCCTTCAGCATCGAAAGAAACATCAGAGTACTGGCTCCTTTTATGCTCTGAAAAATGTACCTCACTAGTGAATTAGCCCTTTGTGTGTTGGGACACCAACACTTGTGCTTCGCCTCCGTGATTTGCAAGCATGACTTTCTCATGTGGTTTCCAGGGAGGAACAGGACCTAGGGGAATGTGCTCTCATCCTCTCTTTCATAAATCTTGGATAACCTCTTCTATTAATCTCTATAAGCTACTTTGATTAATCAAGTGCTTTATCTCAATGTCTCTGTCTTTTTTGTGCATCTGTTAAATAGCTTGCCAAGTAAAATAAACTTTTAATGAAGAGTCGAGCCTTTGCGCAGTTATTTTTTTGGGTCATCCATGTTTTATTTGCATATTCTGTAGTTTATTCTTGTATAGTTTTGATGTGTTTAACCCGGTAAACGCTCTCTGATTGCAAGTTAAGCACTCGCCTTAAAGATTAAATACTGGACTTGTGTCTTGGTAGAAAATAATCTGATTTCTGCCAGGAAAAGACATGAGTTTGACCCTGCACCTGCAGGGTATCGCACCATGCACAATCTATCTGCAATCCTCATGTCATCCACACCCTGTGAGGAAAGGTCAGAAGGTCAGCATTAAAGGAGGTGGCGCCAAGTCCATTTCTATCCACTTGTATCAGCAAGCAGTTGGCACACACACATGCCTACGCACACACAAACACAATCACTTCCTGTCTCTTCGCCCATGGGAAATCCAGGAAGCCATGCCAATTCCAGCAGATGTTCCTGAAGCGCAGGCATCTTGTAAACACCATGAAATGTATTGGAGGCTAATGTAATGGTTGCTGACGGAGGTCTTCAACACACGATTTGATTTTAACACCTGCTGCACACACATACTGTACATATCCCCCACAGCATGACAGGGTATGCATGTTACAACCCCAAAAGTCATGGAGGTTCATTCTTAAAATAACATGCAGAAATGGTGTAGAGTAGACTATAAAAACTGAAAGGGGTATGACCCCACATTTCCTCTTCACTTCAAACTCCCTACAGTGTTGTTAAAAGAACACTGGTACAATAAACATAGACATATTTTATGAAAGCTTAATTGAATAATCTATAATGTGTTAATACAGCAATAAATTATAGGTTTAATGTTTAATGTATGGGAGCCAAAGCAGACATATTGGTAACCTTAACTCATTTTACTTTGGTTTCTTATTATGGGAATATGTTTCTGTGCAGCAATATAATGAGTAAGGTGTAATAATGGATTTTTTTTGAGCTGAGTTTTCATTTGATAGCGGTGTTTTATGAGGAGTGCCGTATTTTATCACTAGTCATCAGTCTATAGAGGGAGCCACTGTAGCCTGCTGATCGTTTACTGCTCCCCGGTGAGAGAGAAACCCGGACCTCAACCTGCCCGGTACACCGCCCCCAGCATGTCATACTATACGAGCCGCATGTTCATCACAAGTGCTGCTTGCACTCCGACAACGATCTAACATCCACTGCACCGTTTGCATATAACCGCCAGTCTGCTACGCGCATACTCTCGGATTGCGACCGAAACATAAACCGGGGACGTTTTCTTCAGCGCGCCAGGAGAGTTGGAGATCCGCAGGTAATTGCAGGTACGTCTCCAAGGCGCCACGGGATGACAAAGCTACTGCATACAGCACAGCGCTCTGATTAGATAACGACGAATGTTGAACAAATCTGCGGTAGCACTTGTTTCTGATGTAGCTCGCTTGTTCTCAGGGAATTGATCTGTAACAAGTGTATCTTGAAACAAGGCTTAAATTGAACATGTTTTGTGCAAATACAGAATTTTTGTCAACATGAGCTCTGCACGGCTGATTAAGTCGTTCATTTTCCTGACACTGACTGACACAGGAGGGCATGTTTACGCACGATCTTTACGCGTATTACGCACTAATCCTTTTGGAGAAAAACAGCAGAAAAACACTTCACTTAGTTGAAGTCGCAGATTTGGCTGGAGCAGTGCCAACATAAACATCACGCCAGCAGCGGGAGATGTTGGGACTCGTTAAGCAATGCCATCAATGATGTAATAGCTGGTATTAAAACTTGAAGACTTGTCAAGCGAAAAATGATCTTGCACGCTCTATCCATTTGGTTCCTCTGCATCTCGTTACAGTGCTGCTCCGACGTTTGGTCGACATGCTGGGGATCTGCGTGTGTCTTTGTGCGGTTTTCACACACGTCCTCTCTCAGGAGGCTGAGGAGCCGGTCGTATACTCAGTAAGTGAGAGATTTCTTTTATCATTCAGTGTTTTTCTGTGTAGGTTTAACACAACTCGGCATGTTGGAGATGCTGTGTACTAGTAGCTGATGGAGACCTCAGGGTTCATGCTTTTATTGTTTTATCATATGATGTTGACACACATGAGAGGACACTCAAATATGTATAATTTCGTGGTAATCATTATCTGTCCTTCACAGTGCACAGAAGGGTATGAGTATGACACAGTCAGAGAGCAGTGCAGAGGTGAGAAATGTTAAGCATTGGTTATTACACGTTTGTGCAGCTTTTCATGCTTAATGAGTTAAATTGTGTTTTTATTTTTCATATATTTTCAACCAAGCTTAATATCAGTTGTCATTTTAACCAATTGGAATAATTCCACCACAGGAAATTACATATCTTCCTGTTTGTCTTCCTGTTTTTCCTGTCAGACATCGACGAGTGTGCCTCGTTAGACGATGCTTGCAAGGGAGGGATGCAGTGTATCAACCACTTTGGTGGATACCTCTGCCTCCCCAAGAACGCCGTCATCTATATCAGTAAGGACGGCGAGCAAGTGCCGCTGCCGGAATCCATCCCACCTATCCCTCCTGTCCCTGCTGTCCCTGCTGCTCCACCAAGCCTGCCTATTCTCCCATGGTCTGACGCCAACCTGGGGGTCTCTCATTCCAGCCGTACCATCCACTGTACACCTGGATACACTGCAGATGAGCAGAACCTCTGCAGAGGTAAGATCAGCTGCCCAGGTACTACCCTTCTATCTTCAGCTTCAAGATGATACAAAGTACCATCAAAGTAACTTGAAAAACTAGCCTTTCATTTTTTTCGACTTTACACCAACACCTAGAGACGGATCCTCTTATCTCAGCAAGTGGTGTTGACAAGCTCCCCGGGAGAGAAATAGGAGTCTGTCAGCAAGAGAGGAGGTGTAACCACAAAATGTGGTCTAGAAGTGGAAAAAGGATGTCTGCCACACTCTCTCCATTAAAAAAAAGTTGTTTCAGTTATTTAATCTTCCAGAATATGAAAGATTTAATTTTTGGCCTTCATGAGACAGATTGCAGCCTAAAAATGTGGGTGCAGATTAAAATCCCCTGTACTGACTGCTTTTTACCACAGTATGATAGCAGAATTAAAGGTGCAATGCGTAAAATCTATCTGGCTTCATGCTACAAACAAATAGGAGGCAGCATTTCACCTCTGCTTCTGGGTCCATTTAATCTAAAGTTACAGTTTTCAGTTATAAAAGAAATAGCCAACTACTAACTAACAGCAGGGCAAGAATAAGCACAATCCAACCAAACAAACTGCTGAAACTCTGAGAGCACGTCAAAAATAACTTTGATCTACTAATCTTTACGTGTGGAGTCGGTCTTTGGTTTATGTTAGCCACCTTTGGGTTTACTGTGCCACTAACCGAGGGCCGTAGCTTTGATAGTTTGTTTACTGGATAAAATCCAAAGTGGCAGACACTAGAAAATGATTCATATTTTCGTTTAATCCGCTACACGGGAAGCCGTTAGCTGTATTAACTCGCATTCAACCAGTGCAAACCCGACCCGAGCGCCAGGAGACACAGCGGGAGGTTACAATGCCCATTTCAGTCGTTATGTCAAAGACGTCTACGTATTGTGTTGCAGACGCAATACGTACGTCTTTGAGATAACGTCAACACTTTTGACCTCTTCGCATTCTGTTGATAATGTCAGTTCATTCTGTCCAGATCTTACACATTGCACCTTTAAATGTCAAAATTGAGAAGTGCTTTTATCTCCTGAATATCAGTAGTATGCTTTTGTTGCACTTGGCCAGATGCAGTGCTGCTGCGTGGAAGAATGTGTCTGAATGTGTCTCTAGCAGGGCCAAGCAGGTATTTGATAATTACTTGCTAACGACTTTAGAGCCTCAATAAGCAGAGCTCCAAAGGTGAACTGTTCATCCATCTGTCTGACAGTCATCAACAGCTAAACCATGCGTAGCTGCCAGAGGTGTTGCAAGCTTCTCGACTTTTCTCACTGTGATATCATGTTTTCTAAACTCTTTGGTCGCTCGCAGCATGATGTTTTTGGCCGGAGTTCAGCTTCTTCTTAAAATACAATAAATTGTTCTTGTCTTGAGTGTTGGGGTCCTCTGCTTCAGGGGCAAATCAAGGAGACCTTTATAATACTGCAGCGAGCTCTGTGCTCACATATAGCCTGTAAACCTTCAGGAGATATTCTCTGGGCCGTGACCAGCTTGAGATTTTGGTAGCTGCAGAAGATTGTGTGGGTGTGATATTGTGTTTGGGCAAGATTCTTTGATCTTTACAAATGGGGAGTGGTTTGAAGATTTATTCTTTGTCTCACTAACACACACAGACACACACACACACACACACACACACACACACACACACACACACACA